AATGGCTATAATGGCTATACGACCTAGTTGAACACCACTTCGTAGGGGCGTGAACAACTGACGTAATAGTTCTGGAAGGCCTGGAAGGCTGATAAGACGCGCGCCTGGGCATCAGGTGACTCCTCGCCTTCGCGCGCTTTTCCGCACAGTCGCATCAGGTGACTCCTTGCCTTCGTGCGCTTTTCCAAGCAGGGGCATCAGGCGACTCCTTGCCTTTGCGCGCTTTTCCAAGTAGGGGCATCAGGTGACTTCTTGCCGCTTTACTGCTGGTGAGTGGGTAAGCGACTGAAGCGCTTGTCGCCGCACTGAAGCGGGGGCTGCATATCACCCTGAATGAGTGAGAGAGCGGAGTCCTCTACACACGGCAGCCGCTGATGAGGGGCTGGTATCATGTGAATGAGTGAGGAGCCAGTGATTGTGCTTTGCACACGGCAGAATGAGAAGTCAGGCTGATGTCCTGCAGGTTCGATGGGTGAGAGGAATGCGGACATTTAGTCGGCATGAGCTCATCACCAGAGTCCTTAAGGTCCACCACTGATCGAGGGCAGACGGACTCATCTGGTATCTGAAGAAAAATGTCATACTCACCTGAAGCAATCCAGGCACCGCCCTCTGATGAGCGAACCTCAACTGTGAGCTGTAAATAGTTTATAAGCCATATTGTTAGGTTGTTCAGCAAAGTGAAGGAGAAGATTCTGACATAATTGTCGCGTGCACCGCATTTTATACTGCCTTTTGAGCATGTCAGTATTTGCATGCGATTTGCATACTTCGCGACAATTGGCCAGTCATTTGGACTGGCGTGAGCCAATAGGACTTCAGGAAAGGTTGGAAGGGAAGGAGTTCACATAACGGAGAAATGTCTCCGTGATGTCTTGTGAAAGCTCGAGAGGGAATCGCAGTAGCAGAATACAGGTCGAACTACCTTCTTAATGTTCTCACTAATAATAATAATATAGGTCGAGCTACAGCTGATCAGCCTTCTAGCTAGTTAAAAAAAAAATTATTATTTGCCCAACCGGACAAATAACCTGATTAAAACATAAGTGACAAAAAAAATAACCAGCAAAGCATCGAAACACGAGAATGATTCTTCTAATTTTATTAGCCTACATTCAATGTAAACAGAGATTGATAATGTATGGTGTATTTCTGGTATCAAGGTCGTGCTGTTGAGGCTCACTCTGTTTGTCTCTTTGTGAGAGACTTCAGAACAAATGAGCATAAAAGCACACATAAAGAAACTCAGAAGAAACACACAGGTAAAAATTCAAAATGTTTAGTTTATTCATAACATGATATAGTAAAGTAACATACCATGACAAGTGAGCTATTTTGCTGAATATTCTCACGACGCAAAAAGCATTCAAAACACCTACAGAGTGCACGCATGCATTAGGTGAAGTCTAGACTAGTGCGCGTGCGCATTTACAGTGCACTCTTTCACTGCGTGATTCAGTCTATTAAAATACATTTACAATGATCACAAAATTCAAGACATGGGGGCAGAAAATGTATATATTTATACCACTTCATATAGTTAATCAATTTCACATGAAGAGTGCCGTTTTTTTCTCCAAAATTACCATGATAACAAATGTGATATTTATTTTTTACAACAGTTCAATAAACTAGAAGTTAATTAAGAGACTTTTTTAATACACCATATTGCCTGTTTTTGCAGTATTTCGACAACAAAAATAATTTCAAACATAGCCACAGCACTATTGTGCCTCTGAGCAACATGATGGTGTTTAGTTCTTGAATGAATCAATCATTTAAATGATTCAGTTCAATCGCAATGACTCACTTATTAACAGTGACTTGCTGCCACCTACTGGCGGTTTTAATTTCACATTTAAAGTACCTTTTTATTATTTAAATAATTTCAAATATCAGTATTCAATGTTTTATGTTTAATATATCAAACATTATTTATGCATTTGCAAAAATAGGCCTTTGTAAAGGTAAATAAAAATATGCAGATTTAAGTATGTAAAAGCTGATAGAACACTGATGAAAATATTGCTTCAGAATAAATTGTTTACACCACCAAAAATCTCGGTGATGTGGTGCTTTTGTGGGGATATTTTGCATGGAATATTGTCTGCTGATATGAAAAGTTCACTGTATATCTTAGTAATAAATATAATTTATTACAGCGATGATATTTTTCTTTTTCTTTTTACATTAAACACATTAAATATTACATATATGTATGTAATATAATGTGTATTTCCATTACAGGTTTAGGTCTTAAATTTCATATAAGGTGGTATTAAAAAGGTCTTAAAAATCTTACATTTAACTTGTTCACGTCTGTAAAAACCCTGTACTTTACACTTGTATAATCTAGCAAGATGAAATTGGCAGACTAGTCAACAGTGATACAGTTGAGCATCATTTTGAGTTTTAGTTTCATTAATTATACAACATTCCCTGAATTGTCTTTGCATTTATTGATAACATTGATTGATTTATTGATAGTTTCTTTTGTTAGTTAGCTATTTTCTTAAAGAAAATAAATCAGTAGTCTTAAACTTGAAAAATATAAAATATATATTGGGTGAAAAATGTGATGATGATAATCGTAAATAAAATTTTATAGTGTTGACTTTTTTAGATTTTTGGCTGTTGGAGCAAAAGGGAATACGGCAATAAGATTGCCTTTCATTGTACAGTACTGGTAAAACGTTTGGGGTCGGCAATAATTTATTATTTTTCCGAAATGGAAATGTGGAAAATGGTGCCTACTTAAATAGAGATTTTGTTTTCTCTAGGTGCAGCGTTTTTGCCTCAAGTACATATTGCCAGCAAAAACTGTCTTTCTACAGATGGTCTGTGTTTGAGGCAGTGTTGCAGAGTTTTCGGCGGTGTATGTTGGAGCGTGCCGTTCCGGTGTGGTTGCCGGGGGTAATGCTGCGAGGGCAGGCTCAGGGTAGAGTCAGTCTGCACCAGCATGTGTGTGTGCATATGTGTGCTTGTGTGGCTGTTCTGCCCGCTCAGCACTTCGCTCCATTGGTCAGTGATCCCTTTTATTGAATTTGTTGAATTCTACTCAAGTGTTGTATAACAAAAGTTGTTTTTTCTCTCTGGATGATGTGAAAACTAAAATGTACTTAAAATCTTTTGTTTTGAAAAGACCAGTTGCATTTGAGCTTGACATAAATCTTGACATAATTATGTTCTTATGCTATTCTTGTGATTACTAAGATTAACATGGTTCTCTCAAAGAAAACACTGAAAGAAGTTATTAATCATTACTTTTAATATTAGCTTTTAAAGAAATTTCATTTATGCCCAAAGTGGTGTTAGAAATTGAATGCTGAAATAATTTTCAGCTGGCCAAGTGACAAAAATTTCATCCGAAAAAACATCATATAGTCGTCTTGTCCTCTCTGTTTCCTTCTTTCAGGAGCGGTCACTATTAGCCACCGTATTGCAGGCAGAAACGCAGACGGCTGTCTTGGCCACAGATGTCTGGTGCTTCCTGGCACGGTAAGTGTAGATACACACCCATGAGTGTAGACCATCGGACTTCTATGACTACTACTTTCCAGAGACGCCAAGCATGAACAATCAGGGGACGTTCCTGTTTTTAATCTTTTTAAGTATAAATTTCCAAAGTTTTGTCATTGTGGTTTAGGAGTCATTCCCCTAAAACCCCCTAAATAATATTGATAACCATACTCTGCTTAGACATGTGTCTATACAAGTTGGAAAACATCTACAGCTCTAAAGAATGCAAGAAAAACATGCTTATATACAATATCAGAGTTGTGTTCTTTCTGTCTCCAGGTATGGCACGGCCGAGTTGTGTTTTCATCATGTTCTCCTTCTTGCTCACCTGGTGAGTGGGAATGTGCTGGGAATGCGACCTTTTTGTGCTCTTGTGGTATTCTGGAAACCTGTCTGGAATGAGGGACCACAGGGGACCCTTTTTCTCTCTTACACCCTGACTGAGCTGACAATTGGTGTCAAAATGAGCATGGGGAAGAACACACCTGTCTATCACAACAGTCTTGTGCTATTTTTCTTGTGTGCTTGGTATTCTTGTAAATGTTGTTAATTATTACAAGTGTTAGTGAACAACTTATTCTATGGGTTCTATATACAGTATGTGTATGGATAAACACACACAAATACACAAAGTCCTCATATGCTTACCAGATCTGCATTTATTTGATCAAAATTACAGTAAAACAATCATGTTAACTTAAAATTATTTTTTTTAAACTATACACAACTAATCAAAAGTTGGTAAGATTTTTTTTTTTAATGTTTTTGAAAAAGTCTTATGTTTGCCAAGGCTGCATTTATTTAATCAAAAATGTAGTACAACAGTAATGCTGAACAGTAATGACTTTTAAAAATATATTTCAACGTATAATTTCCAGTATTCTTTCATGAATAGAAAGTTCAAAAGAACAGCATTTATTTGAAATAGAAATCTTTTGTATCGTTAAAAATGGTTTTACTGTCTTTTTTTGATCAATTTAATGTGTCTTTGTTGAAGAAAAGTATTAATTTCTTTAAAAAAATAAAGTCTATACATTTTTGTGTGTGTGTGATCTTTACATTTGACAATTAGAGAAAGTCCAAATACCTTTGTCTTCATTTAGACCATACATCTATGTTTTGCCTCAAGACTGTATTTGTTCTATTCTGTTTCCTTACAATTTAATTTTTCTGTTTTAAAGAGGACTAAACACTCTTTTGACCCATTGAAATAAAATTTTTGGAGAGTGTTTAGAATTTCTTTTTTTAAGTTCTCTTGGTTTAAACATTATGTCTGAACAAATTGCAAGAAAACCTCAGGTTTTTAGTAGTCCACTAATTGCTTCCATGACCTGTATTGTTGTTGTACTGTCTAGATAAGGTCATGTCCTGGTGAGGGTTATCAGCTGTTTCACTTGGCCCTGCTTCTTAGACGTCTGCTATTTCTCATGACACCAAAACACCAGGTTAGTTTCTTTTTCTCTAGTCCAGATAAAGAAAATGAACACCGCTCTGCAGAAAAAACTTCCTCAGAACATTGATGAGTTTGTAATATAGTTTATTTCTGTTCCCACCGTTGTTCTGTCTTTGTTTTGTAGATGGCAAAATGGTGCATTCATAAATGTGATGAAGTGCTTTTTTTGTGACAGGTGGAGTTTGTGGAGCGCTTCCCTCCCGCTCAGGAGGAGAACCTGTGTGTGTGGCGCCACACTCTGCTGAGGGGTCTGTGCGCAGAGGCATGTATGCGGGTGGAGAAAGAGGTGCTTTCCAGGGCTTCTGTTGTGCTGCAGGAATGGCAGAATAACAGCTACAGGATGGGAGATATACCAAAACTTGTGAGAGAAATAAAGTAACATTGGCGCCACTGAACACAAACTTTATTCTTAACGGGATGTTTGCCATCTTTTTTTAATTACACAAGGCCTTGATTTTAAAAACATAAAAAATGCTGGCATATTATACAAACAACTTCACCACTAACAGTTCATTACCCAAGACACAATTGGGTAATGAAGAGGAAACAGACAGTCTTCGATCCACATTCAAGTTCCAAGGCTATGAATGTGTTTTATGCCTCAGTCTTACCCTGAACAAATTCTGGTGAGGGTTGTTGTAGATTAAAGTTTTGATTATGGACACAAAACAAAATCATGCACTTACACCGTTTGACCATGGAAAACTTTGTTTTTTTTAATTGTTATTTAAACACTTAAGATTTTATTGTGTTGTAGATTGACAAATCAGCAGTGTGTAAACTCTATCTGACATCCTGCCTTTAAAAACCAGACTGGCCTTTAAGATAAATATGGTTTCTCCTTGTGATTCAGAACCGGATACTAGGCTGTGTGCTGATGTTGATGGGCGGAAGCAACCTGCAGGCTGAGTGTGTGATATCTTCTGTGAAGATCATCTCTCAGCTGTGGAGTTGCATGAGTAGCAACCAGGTGATCAGATTTAACATACACATAACTGTTCAAAATTTTGGGGTCAGTACAGGGGACATCAGATACAAAATTCTGTTTGAACATAAATGTGTGTTGGCAGTGTGTGTATACAACCACCCTATAATGATAAAAATCCACCCAGGGCTTTTTTTAAATCCCCAAAAATTGTAAGCACTGTCTCGGATCAAGCCATTTAAAGATTCTTGGCCCCTCTCACGACTATTGACCAACACTGCCATTTTAGCATTGACCCGCCCTGAGTGAGCTGCAAACAGTCCGCTTTTGTGTAAATTGTTTTGATGCCGGAGCAGGTGTAGACAAGAATGTCTCCTAAGCGATTGAGGTCTTTTGTTGCTGGATGTAATAATGAACAGCCGTCGTCATTTACTCCCGACATCTGAGCCGCTAAATACACAGTGGATTGTTTTTGAAGGGAATGCTCCCCTGATCTACCTAAATTCGTTTATGTTCGTGCGAATCATTCGTGATCCAGCTTCACCTACAGAAGCTTTTTTTGTTTGTTTGTTTTTTAAAGGATCTTTGCAAATCACCTTTCCTAATAATGTGCTAGTTAGCAAGTTCCACGAGGAATGTGGCTAAAGTTTACAGTCTTGTGAGAATGGCTCTTCAACTCACGGAAAAGAGGGGCGGGGTGAGCAGAGCTCATTAGCATTTAAAGGGACATGCGCCGAAACGGCTCGGTGTGAACCAGAGCATGTGAGCGGAGCGGAGCGTGAGCGGAGCGGAGCGTGAGCGGAG